GCAATTATCTCTTGCCCTTATATCCCTTCTTTGTTTGTATCAAACACCAAGGAATGATGTTCTAACGCCAACTTGATGTGAATCCAATCGCTTAACATTATGACGAAGGACCACAAAAAGTAACTAGAATAGATTTGGAAAGATTGTGGAATTCATCTGCTACAGTTATAAATTCAATTTATGCTTCCATTAGGGCTCAAGTCATGAACGATCAACCAACCTTTTAATTCCCCAGCAAATTACTAGTGGCAGTTCTTCAAATCTAGTTTTAGCAATTTTAATCTTGAACTTAACTTACACCTCAAGCTTTTTTTATAGGCTTGCGTCTCAACATAACTAAGGCCCGCCTGGAGGCGCGAATCGCCTCGTTGGTGTAAGGCTGACGCCTCACTAAACTAAAAGCCTAAACAAATCACACCTTCATGCACCCCGAGTCGTAGCAACTTCCTCTCGATTGCCTCAAACTCCAACAACTTCCTCTCGATTGCCTCAAACTCCAGCCCAACTCCTTCGCCGCATCCACCACATTGTCACCATCAGGGATCACTTGAAAGCTGCGCATAAAATCTCATACATAAATTTGTTACTGCATGTGCTCAATTTATACACATTAACTGATTTTTGAAGGAGAGAGTCAAAAGAGCTCTAATAGTAGTGTGACCTTTATAAACAAAAACAATGGTTAACTACATGGCCTAATCTATACACTGCTAACGTACTTAATAAAGAGACAAAACAAATTGAAAGAATTGTTCATAAAAGTGTGTATTAGACAATAACATAAAATAAGAAAAGCTTTCTAGAGTAGTACTTGAGCTTCATAGCCGACAAATACTATGTTGATAATGTTTAATATGACAAAAATAAACAAAAGATTTGCTACATTTGTCAAGGCTATCACAAATCAAATTCACCAAACTATGTCAGGTTTGAGCATCAATGATATCCATGCCCTCACTCTATGTATCTATAGGAAGTTAACACTAAATTTCAAATTAAACTTCTTTGACGGTCCTCAACTTCTTTCAACCCAAAAACAAGAAAGGAAAATGACTAGCAATGCATATGAAGTTGATCTGACCCCCATGGAATCTAGGAAAACAAAATAAAAGGCCACAATTCTTCAAAAAGGAAGGCATCTCTAACTTCAACCCAATGGTGTTATATTATTCCATTATTTTTCATGTTTGATCACAACCAAATCAAAACTTCTTGAGTTATCAAAATCCACAGTTAAGTTGGTTATTCAACTGAAATAAACACCAATAATTCTGACCATTGGAATACTAAAAGCCTCAAATAGAATCTAGTCATCCAAAGCAACAATATTTCTAGAAAACACAATGATCAACTAATGAAAAAATATTAGAATGAAACAGATCAAGCAAAATATTTGCAATTTGTATTTGATGTAATTACAACACATACAAAAGATCAAAAAACAATGAAAAAAAAATCTATTGGAATTAGAATAGAAGAAGTCAGTAAAAAGGTTTCTCGATGGTCATACAAATTAACCGAGAAATTGGAAGAAGAAAATGGAACCGTCACTAGCCGCTAGTCACTAGTGGACTGTAAACAAGTTGAAAAAACATATAAAGAAAAACATTTGACCAAGAATAAGATAATAAATACAGATCTCAGCATTTAATAAAAGAAGGCATCAATAAGCCTTTCACAAAATAGTTAAAATGTTCATATAAAAGTAGAACCATGAGGGGGTGTTTGGTATCGGATTTATTTCAGTTTTTAAGTAGGATTTACGGTAAATCCAGCCAAACGCAAAAAATGTCGCAATAAATCCGGTAAATCCGTAAATCCCGGATTTGCGGATTTGCGGCGTAAATCCGCTAAATCCCGATAAATCCTAATCCAGGTAGAAGTCGGATTTACGGGATTTGGCAGAAGACGTAAATCCGCTAAATCCCAGTAAATCCTAATCCGGCTAGGAGTCGGATTTACGGGATTTGGCAGAAGAACCGCGCGAAAGGGAGAAAGTTACCTTCACAGCGAGCGAGCTACCAACGGATTCAACGCAATTTACATGGAGGAAGGCGCAGCTTCATCTTCATCCTGTGCCCTAGCCGCTCCCGAAGCCAAGTCGTTGTTTCCCGCTCAAGGTCGCACAGGTAAATTTTTTTTTTCAGCGGCTGATTGGTTTTCTTCTTCCCGATCGAGCAAGAGCGATTTTTTTTTTTTTTTGTTCTTCACTAGAACAACGGAGAGAACACCGAACAAGCTCGGTCATGCTCGCTATTTTTTTGCTGCCCTATTTTTGTTTGCTTCACAAGCACGACGGAGAGGATACCATTCACAACAGATTTTTTTTCTTTTTTTTTGTATTTACCTCAGCATGCCTAAAATATTTAAGCAATTATTTTGTTTGAAACGTTTTAATTTTTTTTCTTGTTTTGTATTGAACTGTTGGCATTTCGTTTGAAGTTAAAGATACTATCATTTATTTAGGCAGCAATGGTATAATTGGATTATGATATTAATGTCTTGATCTTTAGTTGAACTTTGTCCTAACTGTATTATACTAATTTTTTAAAATTATACAAAGTATTATACTACTTTGATTGATAAATATAACACAATGAGAATATATGCTCTTGTAATAAAAAATTCAAATAACAATGTGGAAGATGCATAAATATGACGAGTTGTGGGATGAAATTCAACAAGTATTTTTTTGCTCATTACAATCATATATAATTCTTAAATTTAATGCATCTAAATCAACAGTACTTCATTTTTCTAGGTTAACCCAAAGGTAGCTCGATTTAGAAGGCACCCATTCCATCAATATGAAATATTTGAGAAGATTTATGCCGAGAATATTGCAGTGGGTAGTGATGCAAGATGCACTAAGATGCGAGAGCCAGTGGTTAATTTAAACAGTGTGGAAGATGCCCCTCCCAATGAGGATGATTTTCTAGTTGCTAACGGTGTTAGCTATGACATGAACGGAACGCCACCAGACGACCAAACAAGAACTTTTGACGTAGATCCAAGTGTGGAAATGGATCCAAGACCAACGATACGTACAAAAAGATCTAGCGAGAAACCAACCAAATCTGCTAAATGTCCGAAAAGGAATAATGAGAGGCAAAATCTTAATGAACTGTTACTTCAGTCAAACAAGAATACCATTATCTTTAGAGAGACAATTGAAAAAACTGATCCGTACAGTATGCGTGATTGCTTAATCAAGTTAGGCCAATTTGATAATCTTATAACACAAGCACTCATAGCCATTCAGGATGCACTGAAAGAGAGCAAAGATAACAAAGCCATATTGATGACTTGGGAAGGCGATGTAATAATTGAGTGGATAGAATATATTGTTAGCATGCATCCTCGCTTTTACGCGTCGAAAGTTTGGCTGTAATTGTTTGATTCAATCTGATTGATTTCTGTATTCTCTTTGATTATGTATTTGCTTTGATTAGGCGATTCACCTCGCAGAATGTTATGGCTGCAGTGTCATTTGATCGACAGTTTTTATATGTAGCATCTGGGTGGGAAGGGTCAGCTGTAGATATGTGTGTGCTAAGATGGGCTATATAGCACGGTCATTTTGGAGTGCCACACAATCATTATTACTTGGTTGATTGAGGCTATGCAAACACTGATAAGTTAATTGCTCATTTTCGAGGTTATCGATATCATCTAGCTGATTATCGAGGAAGAACTAATAGAAGATATACAAATCAGCAAGAATTATTTAATCACCGACATGCCCAAGCATGTGCAAGCTGATCTGGTTATTGCGTGTGCAGTTCTTCACAACTTTATAGGACGCTATCATGGACATGACATGTATTTTAATATGTCACAGACAGAAATGACACACGATGGTGAACATGGGAATGTTGAAATGTTGAATGAAGATCCTAACTTGCACACTACAATAGGAGAAAGAATTCAAGGAGAAGCGATAAGACATGTCATTGCAACTGATATGTGGAATGCCCGGGTAAGGATAGTTGTATGCATTTAAACTAATTTATCTTCCATTACAATATTTATTAATTTTTTCATTTTTTTTTCAGATAAGTAGTCAAAGAAATCGATCATCGTGAGGAAGAATCTCTCAAATGCAACAAATATCAACATCACCATTATGTTGTAGTTCGCTATCTTGTAGTTGTTAAACGATGTCCACAAAAAAAATCTTGTTGTCGTGCACTCTTTATGCTTTTAGTTATTTTCGTTGAATGTTGAATGATGTTATGTTTGATTAATTATTTGGCATATTACTCCTTCTATTTTAAATCTCCAACCGTTTTAAATCTTGTAATTTGTTGCCAAACATCTTTTTGGATTTAACAGGATTTAAATTTTTTCATACCAAACACAATTCAGGATTTATGAGCCTAGGATTTACTAAATCCGGATTTACTGGATTTAGTAAATCCTACTAAAAATAAATCCAATCTTATACCAAACACCCCCTGAAGTTGATCACATCCCTTCTCAAATCTCTACCGTCCAGCTATTATCTATCGGCACCCTATGACCATTAGTTTAACTCATTAGCTACATCTTTTACTAGTTCAAGATTCTAGCTTGACAGGTACTACAGATAACAAGAACCAGAAAACAATCAGATCAAAAACCTCAAACGCCACATAAAGTTAGCTCCTTTTTTTCCCTGAAAAATTACGATACTTCAAATTTCTACACAAACCCTAAGGGGCTATTTGGATAAAGCATTTAAGCAGGATTTAACTTAAATCTTGGCAAACGCAAACAAAATGCCTGCTCAAATCCCCCGGCAACTGCAACCAAAATCAAGTTTCCTCATCGAAATTCAAAGAAAAAACCGAAAAATCAGTCGATTAGGACAAACTAAAATCAAATGTTGAAGCAATAAAGCAAAAAATAAATAAATAAATAAATAAACCGAAAGATTCCTCATAAAAACATATAAGTCATATCGACAGAAGAGACCAATACATCAGAACTAAAAGTATGAAAAGAGACGGAAAACTCACTCTCCAGGTGAAGACATTACGAATCCGATGGTCGAATCGATAAAAAAATTCTTCCTTTGATTTCGAAAAGTGGAGAACAGCCGATGCGTTTCGATTTTGCTACCCGAAACTCCAAGGCCGGAGTCGAAGGTGCCTTTTGTAATTTTGTGAATGTTATTGGCGCAATAGTTCCAGAAGGACCCGGAAGCTTGCGTTGCAGTAAATGGAAGCCATGTTGACCTCACGATTGAAATCGCACGGTTATTATTAGGTCAGACGGAAATTAAAAACTTCCACTTTGTATGGCGGCCGCAAGGAACCTCTTGTGACGTGGTGATTCAACGGTGGCCGTCAGATTAATTCATCCAACGGCCATGATGCCTACTTCGAAAAGATGGCCATCTCTTTTCTTCATTGTACGTGCTGCACGCATGTATAAGTTATTCACTATGGGGAATTATAAAGACGTGTGCTGGATATTATGAGTTAATTGGTAACGATGCGAAAATAATTGTAACAGATAATATAGGTTGTATAAGTGATTAATACTAGGAGTGTTAATAAGTGATATGACCCGAAAATTCAACTTGAATATGACCCGAAAAATTCAGATTCAAGGCAACTCGATAAAGAAATTGGTCGGGTTTGTGTCCTACTTATGGAACTATTTATAATTCGGGTCATGTTCAAGTCAACTCGATAACTCCAGATCAACACGAATTGACGCGAGATCAACCCCTAGTCTCGCTACTCTTGTCTCGCATGTGTGACTCATGCGGCACACACCCCCGCGGTTCGAGCCTCTCCTCTGACCTATTACACTGCGCCCCTCGCCCCAGTCGCTTGCTCTCCCCATTCGTGCTTGACGTAACAGCATGTGGTCCTCTCTCGCCCAGTCGCACTCGCCCCACTATACTCATACACACCCTCTCGAACACTCACACTCACGTTCACAAGCAGTCCTATCAGGCCACCCTCGTCTGCAGCACAGTCGTGCAACTCACGCTCACACTCAAAAGCTCGCATCACGCTTTCGCAGTCGCAAGTCTGCAGGTCGAGACAGATTCGGAGCTGAATTTTTAACTCGTTTTCAAAATTAGGTCGTGTTCAAAACAGCTGAATTGGACCCAAGTAGATTCTGGATTTGACCCGAATACCCATTTTGACACCCCTAATTAATAGACATGTTACACGTATCATATTAAATTTTAGGTAGAATTAGGCATCACATAATGTAATGAATTAGCCCACATTTACTAGTATAATTTATTGTACTTTTCTTTTATTAATAGGGAAATTTACATGCATACCACTATATTTCTAACTATTTACATATCTAACACCTCGAAGGTTAATATTACTCTTATACCATCGAAAACTCAATCTTTACATCACTTTTACAATTCCGTTTAGGTCGGACCTCACGCCGTATTTCTTCCCGCCGAATTTTCCCATTCGCGAATACCTCTTCTCACGAACATAGTCGATCGGGAATACCTCTGCTCGCTGCTTGCGATCGGGAATACAGACCTCTGCTCGCGATCGGGGATACCTCTGCTCGCTACTAGCGTCACTGGTTTAGCTTGCGAACTTGGGGGGTTGGGCAGCAGGTAATATACAAAGTTTATTTTCTTACACTTAATACATAGGTAATATACGGATTTTTGTTCTGAGGTGATATACAAAGTAACCATTTATGTTATGTTATTTCTTCAATTCGGAGTAGTGAAAATGTATTCCAAGCAGACAGAGTATGTTCATGTTGTTTTTAAATGTGGAGGGAAATGGGTTCAAACCAGTGAGCAACATAGGAAGATGTATGATGGTGGCAAACAAAGGAGTGTTAAATTTGAGAAAGGTTAACTTACTATTTATGCGCTCAGAAGCGAGGTTGTTCGAATATGTTCATGACTTAAGGGGCATCCATATAATATGTATTATTATATATATGGTACATCACCAAAGGAATATAAAGATATAATTTGTAACGTTCAGGTGGCTGAGTTCATAGAAGCATTCAACGATAATTTGTGTGGTGAGATAGTAATTTCAGTACATGAAGTTGAAGTACAAAAATCAATTTCTGATTTTAGGGAAGTTGTGACTTCCGAGCATATGGTTGAATGTTCTTTTAACCATAACGAGGGTATTTCAATTGCTCCAAGTTTATCTTATAAAGATATAGATGTTGGCATCTTCTTTCCTGACGCAAAACATTTCAAGCATGCTCTACGATAGGTAGCCATCAGGGAGAATTTTGGAATCAGGATAAAGGCAAGTGACAAGACACGTGTGATTGCTACATGTTCATATGAAGGTTTTGAATGGAGAATTCGAGCTTCTCTATGTGAAGATACTCAAACTTTTGAAGTTAGGAGAGTTTATAGTGTTCACACTTGTCTTGGGATCAATCGTGCTGGTAATAAACTAGCCACAACTATATGGATAGACAATGAGATTGAAGAAATAATAAAGAGAAATCCTGACATTCCTCCAAAAGACATCAACAACAGTTTAGAGAAAGATTACGGTCTTTCGTTACCTTACATGAAGTTGTGGAGGTCTAGGGAGCATGCTCGTGACAATATATTTGGCTCCATAGATCAAAATTATAAATGGGTTCCAACACTACATGCAGAATTGATTAATAGAAATCCAGGTTCACATATCACATACACTTATGACAGCCTTGATCATTCATTTAGAAGATTTTATGTTTGTTTTAAGGTTTGTGAAGATGGATTCTTATATGGTTATAGACTGCTTATAAGTTTGGATGCATGTCAGCTAAAATCAAAGCACTTAGGTATTCTTTTATCAGCTACCTCACTTGATGGTAATGACGATTTATTCCCATTAGCATTTGCTGTCGTTGAGACTAAATCTAAACAGACATAGTTATGATTCCTTCAGAACTTGGCAAAGAGTATTGGCCCACACATAGAGCCTTTTCGTTTATCTCAGATATGGAAAAGGGCTTTGGTGATGTCATTAGAGAAGTTTACCCTGGAGCTGAGCATAGAGTATGAATTCGTCATTTGTTGAAGAATTTGAAGAAAAAAAATTTCATTGCAAAGACAGTCATAAACTTCAAGGATTTGTTTGGGCAGCTACATGAGCATATACTAGCACCGAGTACAATGACAAGCTTGTTGACCTGAGCGTTTTGAGCCCAACTATCTATGGATATCTTACAAACTTACCTTATAAGTGGTCACGAAGCCAATTCATTTTAGGGATATACCATGCTACTAATACAAGTAACTTTGTCGAATCATTTAATGAATGGGTTTTAGATTCTTGAAATAAACTGGTTGTTGACTTAATTGAATAATTCGTGGTAAACTTATGGAGCAAAGGGCGGCGCGTAAGATGATGAGCATAACATGGCAACATGAATTAGTTCCTCAAGCAGAAGATTACATAAGAGAAATAACTACAAGAAAAGAACATATGTTAGTTCGCCAATCAACTATTTCGAAGGCTGAGATAGAATCTGTGTTTTCAAGACATATTGTTGATGTCGAATTTGACAGTTAACAGGACTTCCATGCATTCATGTTGTAGCCTTTATTGGGATGAATGAGCATCCACTATGGCATACATATGTTCATGATTGATATTTTGTCAATAAGTAACTTTATAATATTTAAAGTTATATTGAATTCATATGGTTTTGATAATATTTCACATACATCAAATTTAAACGTGGTTATTCTTATAAGTCCTTGTTGTGATGAATTGTAATATTTGATTGCATAGGCTAAATTGGAATTTGTTTACATACAAAGTTTGAACCCATTTTTCTGCTGCAATTTTGTTTGCATAGATTGAATTGGATTTTTTTTTCTTTGTTTGCATAGATTCGAACCTTAGATGTCCACTTAGATATGGTTTGCTCAAACCTGTTATGTGGATTATGCAAATTGAAGGTGACAATTAGAAGTTCCAACTTACTAACATTTTTTGTGAAGTAATTCAATTTCTCCCCTGTTGCAGAACTGAAAATACGGCTTGAGCTTTTCTGACTAATTGCATAGCTTTTCTAATAGTTTTCATTTGCTGTCCATTATTAAACTTTGAAATCCATCTTGTTATCTCAGCTTATAGACATGTAGCAATAAACAGTTTGCTCAAGTTTTGGCATTTATAACATAAGAAAGAAAACAAAACAATTACTCCATTGACTCAAATATTTTTCTTGGCATTCCACAAAACAAATACATATTTTTGTTACATACAATAGAATGATAAAATACATCATTTCTCCAAAAAAACATCATATTTTTCTTGGCATTCCACAAAACCAAGTAAGGTTTAGCACTACATATGCTCCAACACAACAGAGCACTAACCTAAATAAAGCCGGACTTTAATGTCGGTAAAAACCATCACTATAAAAACTTTCATCATACGAAGAATCAAGTCGAGCTTCTTTGAATTCCTTGCATCACATGCCTTAAATTCAAATAGTGTCACATAAGCAGGCTCTTCTTGTTCTTCCTCATCTAGCCATTTAAAGAACTTGCAATAATTCTCAGCCTGATTATAAACGCACCTATAAAATTGTCTTCCACAGTTAGGTCCTCGGTGGTACGTAAAAACAACACATTTTAGGTGGCAATTGCAGTGAACATTTGACTGGTGCATCCGATTTTTCACATCCGAAGAATTCGAATAACTCATTACAACCTTTATAAAAACTGAATAATTGATGAGAACTATACATTAGATTTACAAAGCAGCATTCGAAGCAAATATGTCCGGCAAAATCTGAATCATAGCAGGTTTTAACCGATGAGAACTATACATTGTTTTCTCTTGTATAAATCTGATTCGCAACCGATGAGAATTGAAACTTTTACAAATCCTGAATCAAACAAGTCCGGCAAGTTTTAAGGATGCTCCGAAAGCAGGGAAGCAAACAAGCAAAAAAAAAATTCCTTCACTGCTTTGAAAAAAAATACAAAATCTAAGGGCACGGACATCATACCTTCTCCCGATCTCAAAAGCAAGCTACAGACTTCACCTTCCTCCCCTCTCATGATCTCCGAAATTCTCGACCACTTGCGCCGCGCCCTAACTTCCTCTTACATTCGCTGCAAAAAGGATGTGAGAAA